TACCCCCACACGTGCATGTAATATAATAAATCATACATCTAAATCTCCTTGTTGTGGGACGTTTTGTTGTTGAGGCTCGATGACTCGTTGAGGTTCTGGAGGCTCTACAGCGACTTCTGGCTCCTGTTGTGGAGGAGCAACGGGTTCTTGTTCATGTGGTTGAGGAAACTGCACTTCAGCCATGGTTCATGCTTCTGTCGTTGAGTCCAAGTGTTTTAATATTCTCAATTGCTGGTCTTTTATGCTCTGCTCCTAATTTATGCAGTATGAATAGGAACATACTCATCCGCTATACTCGCGAAATATGGATTAATTGATGCGCTTTTCATTACTCCTAAAATTGAATTAATATCAAGTATAAGCTGTTTATGTTTTGTAAAGATTTAGAATCCCCGAGATTTAATATTTCAGCACACCTTTTGCATGAGTGACGGAAAAGAGAACCACAAGACACAAAAGCCAATTCATTTTTGATAACCACCAGCTAAGATCAAGATGCGGATACGATGTCAATGCTATGTCTTTGCTTATCGAAACGATTTGTCGTGAAATAAATAGTTGTATCATGGTCCATATTTGAGAATTCTCCTGAATATTGTTCCCGTCCAACGTGATTGGATATAATTTTTTATAGAAAACATCCACTTAGGGTTACCATGTGAAAAGAAAACAATTGCTTCCAATCTACTAATTTGTTACAAAAAAAAACTTTGTAGCTATGCAATAAAATAGAAATCTTAACATCCCCTCAAACGATTTTTTTATAAGCCTTATTTGTGTACACATAGTTATACCATGCTGCAAAAATTGTATATTGATTCTTCAAAGCAATGAAAAGACAATATTAGCATTCTGATCATTACTCGGCGATATTGGCAGAGGCCAAATTCTCTGTAATATGAATTATCAATCCCTGTAAAATATGATTGTGTTCCTAGTCTGGCTTACGCGATCAGTGTTGAGAGATACTGCAAATGTCATTCGAACGTCGGTATAAATAGAGCAGGAATAATTAGCTAAGACACATTCCCTTCACACCCTAAAATGCCAACCCGAAATTATTGTACTGATCGAATATATAAAGTAAAAAATATATATAAATTTTTCGGGAGATTTTCTGTGGGGCGGCACTTATATATCTATAAAAAAACTGTATACGCACGCGGGCTTTAAAATACGATCAGGCGAAGATGAGAATCAAGGAATTTTTTCATTCAAAATCAGGAGGGAGAAAAATAGAGTAAATGAAAGCAAAAGTAGTAGCTACGTTCAGCAGTACGTTTTTCCAGCAATCTATATACTGAATGTGCATTATAGAATATGAGTATAGAGTGGGAAAAGATAAATTCTAATAAACCGCTGAGTTATGAAAGTGTGTATTACAATATAGGCCCACTAAAAAGTTGTGAAATATACTACATATAAAGCCTTGATACTTCTAATTTCATTGTGGCAATTTACATATATTTGCTTATATATGTCAACGCTATATCAACTTTTGAGTGTTTTGACAAGTGAACAGTTCGAACTTTGTCTAGGAGTGCATGCCAATTCTCGCATGCGACTAGAGTATCTGCTTCTATTTAAAGATTATAATATTCCCAATAACACTTAGTAACTTAGCAAAACAAAAATACTACATGTTGTTGCTATATGTGTTAAATTATTTTCACAATTAGAAATATTTCTATAAATTATTTGTATACGCTACTGTTCCTATGATATGTAAACATTATTATATTGATATATTCCTCCTCCATTTAAGCGGTGTAGCTACGACCCTGCATATTCTTGAGGTTGCAAATTTACACGGACCACATTAGACCAAAAAGGGCACCGCCACACAATTTAATGATGATAAATCTCAATTTAGATGTTTATAAAACCAGGTCTTGATCTAGATTAATGTAATCTTCCGGATGAGGTATTTCACAAGTTTCTTGTTTATGTAATATCCTAGAGCATGTCTTTGAAACCGCACGAGTCCTTATCAAAACCACCAAGGGCCAAGATTGATAGACTAATAAATTTCACGGGGTATTGTTGTGGTACCCATGGCATCTCACAAAAACCTCTCCAAGAACTCTTTGCATTGCTTTGCATTGGTATTTTGCCTTCAATTCTAAAACATTTGTTACGTAACTAGAATATAGTTACGTAGTAATATCGGTATTTATCCGGCAAAATAATAAGCCGCCAAAGGGTATATAGACACAAGGGTATTTACTGAGCTGCAAAATCAGTCAAGCTGAGTGTATAGGAAACGGTCATCTGTGCTTGCGGAACACGAGGTAGACACACTTTATATTTCTAGTAAGTGAACTGGGGACAGTAGTTATTTATTTTAAAATTAGCTTGATTTTATTTTTTTAGCAGTTTTGAAGTTTTATATTTGCATATCGTGTTTTGGGGGCAGTTGTTACACTTGGCTTTTTATTTGTCTAATTTCTACGTTTATATCGATCTATTGAATCTCACGCATGTAATTTTAGCGTTGTTTTGTAGTAAACTTCGGAAGGTTAGAATTTTATTATCTACAACGCAGCGAGTCTCTGATGCTTTCCTGATCAAAACATATGTAAAATTACTTTGTCCCCGAGCCGGCGCGGAGCGCCGTGCGAGGGTACTAATTCCGCCCAGAGATTAGAAATTAAATGTGAAAAATGTGAAACATCAGCTATTATATTGATAATCGCGTTTCATTGCCAAAAAACGACGTACAAATTTAATAAAATTACCCCACACTTAGGGGCTGTTATTTTTTGGCGTATTTTATTGAATAGATGTTGATATTTTGATTATGTTTAAACGATGTATGTTGCCAACCTTAGGTAATTATATACTATATACGTTACCCGAGTGACGTACGTGATGCAGCGCGCGGTCAAAATTCACTGGCAGTCAAAAAGAACTGCTCAAAAGAAGTTAAAATGCTCTAAAATAAGCGTAACTGTCCCTCTAACAATATAATTATACGAGTAAATATAGACTAGATTACACGCTAAGCTATATGAAATATTTATATTTTGTTGATCCCCCTTCGGCCTTATAATTGAAGACGGCCTTACACCGGCGTGGCATACTTTCTGTTAAGGTGGTAATCTTCATGACCGGTCAAAAGAAGTTCATCTATATGGACAGTCTTACAGAAACCCATAAATCATGGACGCGTTGTGAATTAATTCCTTTCTTGCACTATCCGCTTCACATTGTTCCACGGATTTTCAATATGGTTAAGGTCTTTTGAGTGTGCACGCCAATCCATTTCTGTAACTCCCTTTTCTCATGCATGAAACCATTGTTTGACTATCTTGGAGGTGTGGCAGGCTGCATTACATTATTGAAATATTGCTTGGAATAAGAGAATTATCCAAAATGCCTAAGAAGCTCTCTCCTATATTCGCTTCTTTTTTATGAATTTGTATCTAAACAGTTCTTTTTGACCGCTAGCGTACTATAAAAGATAGATTGTCACGATTCCTTTTACATACGATAATAGCAACATTTGAGCAGTTCTTTTTGACCGCTAGTGTATATTTAGACTGGCAAGAGTGTCTTGTTTCATCAAAAACCTGATTCTTGGGCTACTATGGTATTTCTAGTATAAAGATTGAACGCATGGGATCTATAAAAGCTGTGTTGTACCCTGGGCAAACAAATCCGTCCAATTGTCTTACTCTATTGCTCTACTGCATTGTTCCCATATTTTATGAATAATGCTTTCGCATTATTTTTTTGTCGTTTCTCTTCGCGAAAGAAAATTATTGATTCCTAAAATATATTAAAAAAATATATTAAATCTTTGAACTTTCTAACAAAAACTGTCGGAACTTTAATGAGAGAGAAACAATCCTTTCAGGTTCAACTCCGAGACAAATGTCTTTGAGGGTACCCATTTGTTTGCTTCAGCCCCTCAAAAATTTTCGGACTTTAGGCTTTGAACACAGTGCAGTTGAGAAGAAATTTTGTGATTGTTTGAGAAAATTAGCTTTTCCAATTGTGTAATGATAAAAATGTGCGCACAACTCGAGTCACTCGATAGCATAGTCACTCGATCGCGAATGTCGCTGTTAATGCTATCGAGTGCTAATGTTAGACTGAAATCCAAATCACCTTAACTCGTCAATGGCGAATAACAAAATGGTGCATAATGCTGAGTAAAAACCGAGCAGAGACTGGCAATGGCGAGACATTGTGGACACAAGTGGGAGGAACTAATTTTCAGAAATATTGATATACGACACCTTAAAAGTCATGAGCAAAACAAATCACGACGAACGTGTTATTTAATTGACTATAAAAAAGGCCCCGGTTGTATCAAGCCCGTTTGCTTAAACGGTGGATAAGTCAAAATTAAATAACATTCTTACATCTCTCTTGAATGAGTCAACTTGAATATTATGCACTGAATTTATTTTAAATTTGAAGCTATTTTAAGTAAATATATGAAAAATTCACTTTTCCAGATGGATGATATCGAAACCCCCACACTCCGCTATAATTATGTACGGTTCTGAGAGGAGAGCTGGCGATAAAAACGATGAAGCAAGAAGGAGGAGTAAGCGGGATAAGGCAGAGTGAGCAGGTGCACTGGGAAGGCAGGGAAAAAGGGAGCTTGAAAAAAGTGCAGCTGGTGCAAAAAGTTACCAGGCGCCAGGCGGCAAGAGAGTCAAGTGATGGAGGGAAGAAAAAAGGCGAGAAACAAAAAGCAAAGAGAGGGTTCGCTTCCAATTTTATGTTTCTCATAACCTATCCTCGCCCAATCCGGCGTAAAAATTGGGGAATTCGTGCTGGGGAAGTTTTTCGTCCCTGTCCGCGGCATCAAAAATCATAGTCCCGCACTAGTTTAACTTAAAGAAATATAACATTAACAATAGTTTAGGAGACAAAATGTAATCAAGCGAATTTTATTTAACAGTTCCCACTAATGAAACTAGAACCACTACGATTACATTCATATCAAATTTTAATATCAAAAGAGTATAAAGAAGAGTATTTAAGGTGGTTTATCTGCAAGACAACTTTTGTTCTGTCCATTAAACGACACTTTTGCAACCACTCGTTTTATTACACTGGAAGAAATTCATAGTATGATTGATTAACTTATGATTGAGACTGAAAACGCCCAAAAATATCGTGTTCAAAATATTGATTTTCCTGACGACTAGACTTGTTACGAACGAAAGAGGCAACAAACAAATACTAACCCCCTTAAAGACAGCGTTACAAGCACATTTCTCCTCAACACAAGATGTTTCCAAACACATTTCACAATGGTAATTCAAGACACAGAAGTGGACACATTCGTTACAATCGGCTTTGAATTCTAAAGTGAAGAGATATAAAAATGCTATACTGAACATTAATTAGAGAAATGCACATGCAGGGAATACCAGCGTAGAGGGGGGGGGGCTATAGCATTTGCAGAAACAGTTCGAGCACTCTTTCTGCACAGTAGTGATCAATTAATGACACCGAAAAGGCTTAAGTATAAGAATAAATAAAACATTACATTGGTATTGGTTGCTACATTCAGCGTTATAGTACGCTAAGGTAAAGCTAAGGGATACGGTATATTTTTGAATAAAGGTAGTAAAAAAGGAACATACTCATCGCCGCTGCAAATTCGCGAAATATGGATTAATTGATGCCCTTTTCATTACTCCTAAAATTGAATTGATATCAAGTATAAACTGTTTATGTTTTGTAAAGATTTAGAATTCCCGAGATTTAATATTTCAGAACACCTTTTGCATGAGTGACGGAAAAGAGAACCACAAGACACAAAAGCCAATTCATTTTTGATAACCACCAGCTAAGATCAAAATGCGGATACGATGTCAATGCTATGTCTTTGCTCATCGAAACGATTTGTCGTGAAATAAATAGTTGTATCATGGTCCATATTTGAGAATTCTCCTGAATATTGTTCCCGTCCAACGTGATTGGATATAATTTTTTATAGAAAACATCCACTTAGGGTTACCATGTGAAAAGAAAACAATTGCTTCCAATCTACTAATTTGTTACAAAAAAAAACTTTGTAGCTATGCAATAAAATAGAAATCTTAACATCCCCTCAAACGATTTTTTTATAAGCCTTATTTGTGTACACATAGTTATACCATGCTGCAAAAATTGTATATTGATTCTTCAAAGCAATGAAAAGACAATATTAGCATTCTGATCATTACTCGGCGATATTGGCAGAGGCCAAATTCTCTGTAATATGAATTATCAATCCCTGTAAAATATGATTGTGTTCCTAGTCTGGCTTACGCGATCAGTGTTGAGAGATACTGCAAATGTCATTCGAACGTCGGTATAAATAGAGCAGGAATAATTAGCTAAGACACATTCCCTTCACACCCTAAAATGCCAACCCGAAATTATTGTACTGATCGAATATATAAAGTAAAAAATATATATAAATTTTTCGGGAGATTTTCTGTGGGGCGGCACTTATATATCTTTAAAAAAACTGTATACGCACGCGGGCTTTAAAATACGATCAGGCGAAGATGAGAATCAAGGAATTTTTTCATTCAAAATCAGGAGGGAGAAAAATAAAGTAAATGAGAGCAAAAGTAGTAGCTACGTTCAGCAGTACGTTTTTCCCGCAATCTATATACTGAATGTGCATTATAGAATATGAGTATAGAGTGGGAAAAGATAAATTCTAATAAACCGCTGAGTTATGAAAGTGTGTATTACAATATAGGCCCACTAAAAAGTTGTGAAATATACTACATATAAAGCCTTGATACTTCTAATTTCATTGTGGCAATTTACATATATTTGCTTATATATGTCAATGCTATATCAACTTTTGAGTGTTTTGACAAGTGAACAGTTCGAACTTTGTCTAGGAGTGCATGCCAATTCACGCATGCGACTAGAGTATCTGCTTCTATTTAAAGATTATAATATTCCCAATAACACTTAGTAACTTAGCAAAACAAAAATACTACATGTTGTTGCTATATGTGTTAAATTATTTTCACAATTAGAAATATTTCTATAAATTATTTGTATACGCTACTGTTCCTATGATATGTAAACATTAATATATTGATATATTCCTCCTCCATTTAAGCGGTGTAGCTACGACCCTGCATATTCTTGAGGTTGCAAATTTACACGGACCACATTAGACCAAAAAGGGCACCGCCACACAATTTAATGATGATAAATCTCAATTTAGATGTTTATAAAACCAGGTCTTGATCTAGATTAATGTAATCTTCCGGATCAAGTATTTCACAGGTTTCTTGTTTACGTAATATCCTAGAGCATGTCTTTGAAACCGCACGAGTCCTTATCAAAACCACCAAGAGCCAAGATTGATAGACTAATAAATTTCACGGGGTATTGTTGTGGTACCCATGGCATCTCACAAAAACCTCTCCAAGAACTCTTTGCATTGCTTTGCATTGGTATTTGCCTTCAATTCTAAAACATTTGTTACGTAACTAGAATATAGTTACGTAGTAATATCGGTATTTATCCGGCAAAATAATAAGCCGCCAAAGGGTATATAGACACAAGGGTATTTACTGAGCTGCAAAATCAGTCAAGCTGAGTGTATAGGAAACGGTCATCAAGTCTACTCGTATTACGCGGGGTCATATTTCTCTAGATTTGTCGCAATATAAGAAGAAATTTGGTAGTTTTTTGCTTCTTGCCGTTTCTGCATGCCAGCTACTCATGAGTTTCCATTGGAATATTAAAATATAGGTTATGGGTCGTGTTTTGAATATATTTTTACGGCAATTGAAGTTGATTAAAGCTCGTCAATTTTGAGTTGTTTTGGATCAATTGCGCAATATTTTACTAATTATTATTATTATGCGCGCTGCGTAGACTCGGAGATTGGACGTGAGCACGAACTGCGCAGGTCTATGACTATAGTTTCCGCCAAATTTGAATAGAGCGTGAAATTGGAAACATTCTGATAGAAAATTGTTTAGTGGAATATCGAGTTTAGGCTCGTAAAAATGGCATGGAAGTTTGGGGTATATTTTGTCCGTATTCTCGCTGTCGCTGTGCAGATAGCGGCGGCTATAAACGAAAACGGCGCAGAAATATCGATGGACAAATCCGTCAAATCGTCCGAGTTTGTGTATTGTATATAAGCAAGTAAGTCAACCGGAATAAAGCTTCCTTTTAACTTCGGTATACAGTTTATGTTTAAATGATTCCGCCCTTTGCTCCAGGGAGTCTGCGTCAGGCATTCTCTCTTGTCGCACAAAAGGGAAATATGATTCTTGCTCAACACCGAATAGCCTCCATTCACGAGTCATACTTTCCACTCTAGCCTTTATAGTGAATTCGCACCAATTTCCGTGCCTTCTCGGCTTCTGTTACTTCTACCTCATACAAGTTTTTATCCTTTTTAACCTTTTTTACAACTTCAGCACTCGAGGATACACCAGACTCGTATATTAATTATTAGTCACTCGTGTTGGTTCCTCAATAAGTTGAGTAAGATTGTAAATGTCGAATATATCCGAAAGCTCGAGGGTATTAGCATTAGGAGTTTGAGTTAATAAATCACAATTTAGGTCACCTAGTAGATACATTTCGGCGTTTTCGGAATCAATTTTATCAATTATCTGCTGGAAGAGAGAGAATAGATGCTGTGCAGAGTTAGGAGGTCTATACCAAGTCCCTACCAGGAAAGGCTTAGAACGAGGGTTAGAAATCTGGACAAATAGTAGCTCAAGTTCAGAGTTTACTAAATCACTACGGACCTTAAAGTTTAAATTACTTCTAACATACAAACACACCCCACCACCGTTACGACCATGGTGTTGCCTATCATTTCTAACAACGTCGTAACCGGGGATTTGAATTTGATTATTTGTAATCGAAGAATCTAGTTTAGTTTCGTTAATTGCTAGTACATCAATGTTAGACCTTATACTTTGCATATAAATACGTAACTGATCAATGTGGGCAATAAGACTGTTAATATTTAAACATGCAATAGACAGCCCACGACTGCGAAAATTAGATAGAGACTTACGCCTGTATTCTAAAAGCTCACTCACACTCAAACTCATTGAGTGGGAGATCTTAATCTTCTCATAACGTTTCAATGGCGGTATTTCCAGCTGAACAGGGGCTTGATTTTCAGTGATTTACCTTATATCTTTCCATTTATTCTGAAAAAACTTTCTCATTGATCAGCATTAACGAAATTTATATGTCACACTCGATGAGTATGAGTGTGAGTGAGCTTTTTGAATACAGGCGTTAGTATTAGAATTCGGCGTCGAAGAACGACTAGCTACCGAACTAACCGACTCCCCAGCGGCATATTCCTAGCTTGATTTGATATAGTTTGATATGTTCTTTGCTAGTAGAGATGTTCCTTTATTATTAAGGTGTAAGCCTCTAGAGTTCAGACAAGTTGCATTTATAAATTTATGATCAATAAACTTCCACTTACTTTTGCTACAACTTCAGCACTCGAGGAGGACTAAGACAAAATGTTTGTATTTCAATGAAAAATGTCAGCAATTTAACTGTCATTTTGCAAATATTTTCTTCAAAAATGTCTTGTAAACACAATATGAAATGCAGATCAAATAAAACTTGCGGCTAAAGACAGGAATGTATCCGGCTTATTATTGTATAGCTTTGTAACCACGTCTGTTTGATCTCTTTTTCGTTCGTGAGCAATATAAATATAGCTAAAATACGGCTTTCCCTGTGTGCGGAATATCCCGGTTCGATCCCTGCTATGGTCTTTTTTTTTTCAAAATTTTTTGGGATTTTTTTAAACCTTTTTCAATTTTGAAATAAATGAATCTACAATACCTTCTGGTTAGTTTTAGGGTTTACGGTGAGGGACAGGTTTATTTTTAAATATAATATTATTTGCCCTCTGCAGTAGAAATCACAGCCCGGACTGGATTCCTGTCTTTAGCCGCAAGTTCAAACAAAATTATATAAACGCTGCGAAAAAATTAAAATACGATCAGAACTGGAAAAGTTAAGCGGTGAACAACTCGTACTTTATAATGCTTGAGATGGTAGGTTCTACTTTGTTTATTTCGTGTTTCCAGTAAGAATGCATTTTATGAACTTAGTATGTCGTTTTGCGAAGACCTAACCGACTATTTAAGGTTTTACATCGTCGTTTTAACTTCAAAAAGAGCTCTTGAAAGTGTAAATCGGAGATTTAATTGATATAACAAATATCACTTTGAAGCTTTTATAGCGTGGACTGCAATCACTGCAAGATTTCAATAATCGAAAAACAATATTCGAATCCTCAAACACTAAAGTTTTTGGGGATTTAAATTATCTTCCTGTTTTGAAGGTTTAGCTGTACTCAAGTATTATTATTAACTAAAGTCTATATGACTATAACTGCATGCAACGCCTGCAGCAGGTAAACGGTGATTTCATTTCACCTTTACGACCGTGTTTGTTTCTGAAAAATGTGAAACATCAGCTACTTTATTGATAATCGCGTTTCATTGCTTGGAATAAGAGAATTATCCAAAATGCCTAAGAAGCTCTCTCCTATATTCGCTTCTTTTTTATGAATTTGTATCTAAACAGTTCTTTTTGACCGCTAGTGCACAATAAAAGATAGATTGTCACGATTCCTGTTACATACGATGATAGCAACATTTCATACATAGC